CGAAAAAGGTGGAAAACTTTCGAAATTTGAAAAACGCGGAGCCAAGGCATTAAATTCCAGAGAAAGGGCACAAAATCAAAAATTTTGGGATCTTAGCACTTCAAACTCACGGGATTCACTCCCAAAACGACGAAAAACGTGGAAAATTATCGAAATTGGAAAAACGCGAAGCCAAGAGACTGAATCCCAGGGGAAGGGCTTAAAGTCAAAAGCTTCGGGATCTCAACGCTTCAAGCTCACGAGACTCAATCTCAAAACGACGAAAAATGTGGAAAATTTTCGAAATTTGAAAAACGCGAAGCCAAGGCATTAAATTTCAGAGAAAGGGCATAAAGTCAAAAGTTTTGGGATCTTAGCACTTCAAACTCACGGGATTCACTCCCAAAACGACGAAAAACGTGGAAAATTATCGCAATTGGAAAAACGCGAAGCCAAGAGGTTGAATCTCAGGGAAAGGGCTTAAAATCAAAAATTTTGGGACTTTAGCACTTCAAACGCACAGAATTCAACCCCAAAACGGCGACAAAATGTGGAAAATTTTCGAAATTTGAAAAATGCAAAGCCAAGAAACTGAATCGCAGGGAAAGGGCTGAAAGTCAAAAACTTTGGGGCTTTAGCGCTTCAAACGCACAAAATTCAATCCCAAAACGACCATAAAACGTGGAGAATTTTCGAAATTTGAAGAATGCAAATCCAAGAAGTTGAATCTCAGCGGAACGGCTTAAAGTCAAAAAGCTTAGAGATCTTAGCCCTTGACTTCAAACGCACGAGATCCAACCCTCAAACGATGGCAAAACGTGGAAAATTTTCGAAATTTGAAAACGCGCACCGCTTACATCTTTGCCTTGCTTGTTTAGTTTCTTAATTTGGGGAGGAGGGGGATCCTAGTGGGAGGGATGTTATCGGACGCTCCAAGCTAGTATTTATATGAAACGAAGGCCACCCGGTACACATGAAAAGAAGCTGCTGATAGATCACTACCCGCGTCGACAGGATTATACCTCGAAACCTAGAAAAATTAACGTCACGCCAGCTAATTATCGTCGACCAAACCAGGACTGTTTAAAGAAACATATTTGAGTACGTGCTGTAGGCTCGAACAGCTCACCTCGCACGCCGACGCGATTTCTCCATCGAAAAGAATGATGTCAAATTCCCATGGCGAAACGGGCCTCCTGCGACAACCTAGCCTATTGCAAATCGCAAGCTTCAAGGATAGGAGTTCAACTGTACCACACTCGTGGTCTTCAGTATAATACGCCTTCATCTCGGAGGCTGAAAGATAAAGCCGTGAAGGGTTATGCGAATCTCGAACATGTTCGGGCGATCTGCTAGCACATTCTACGTATGTGGATTCAGCAGCGCTCACATCGACAGGCCGGTGCTCATCCTCCAGAACAAAGACAAAAGATTTGACCCCGGCGTGAACAGTGTCTCCCGGCTTTACTCTCCTCAGAAAAGTATCATAATCTGTGACATCTTCGCCGCGAATACAGAGAAATGTATGTTGCCACAGGACCCCGAAAAAGACTGCGGCTTTCTTGCGAAGGTCTATCGCGCTCGTAGTCTGGCAGGTGGTGCACGAAATTGTTGGAGCGTCGTCAATCTTGCCACCCCCACCTTGCAGCACTTTAAATTCCAACAACATCTCACCAGATACGCTGTATAGTCGGGCCGTCGCGTGCACGCGTGCATCCCCCTCATCAAGAGAAGCTGGCGCCGGGGGTGTATCCGCATCGTACCTGATTGACTGCACCATCCCTTCGCCGATATTTTTCGGGCAAGAATAGCCACGACCAGCTGTGCAATTATAAAATGATAAAAATATGAAAGAAAGAACAAGAACTAAAACCTACAGGCAGCAACAGCTGATATTTATATTATTCAAAAAGCTAACACTAAGAGTGACATGTGTGTTACCACTTTACTTTGCGAATCCACTACTTCCCAAAAAGAACGAAAAGAGAACAATAAAATTCAAACTTAGGGACTACAACTTCCTGTGAGGAAGAAAAAAAAAATCATAGAAATTCTTTTCGAAGATGAACCTATTCTATCTATGTAATGTGTAATGGGTCTTGAAGATCTTATTTGCAGTACTATTTTCTGATCGTGTCCTTTAATCTTCCTTGATCCAGGTTATTTCAGAAGTGTGAGCATATTTCTTCAGCGTAGTGGCAGTGGGTCTCTCTTGTACTTCTGAATGTCTTCAACTTGACATCGAGTACGAGTAGCAATCGTCGAAGATGTGGTCTTAACAGATGCACAGATATCTCAACGTCAACTCCATGCTGCTTCTAGTCATCGGAGGTTCTTCGTACAGCTTGTTACATTTATTTTGCCGAAAATATCAAACAGCACATTACTCTGGTGCGCATACACAGAATGCCTGATACCAAAATTCATACAGATACCGAGCACACACACACCGATCTATCTCTCCCTCTACGCACACTTACTCTCACCGATACATTTTCTCTTGACATCATCATCATGACAAGCTTCTACCAGTAGAGTCTTCCCTGTTTCGAGTTTTGCAGAGATTCAAATTTATATGCTACTCACACGCAATAGTGCGATCGGCGTAAAGTCGCATCATCTATCGGGTTGGCGCTGGGAGAGTACCACGGCTAGGGCTACGGCTTCGCCATTCATTCTACTAGCACTACTAGCTTTGTTCTTATACACAGATACTTAATTCTTCACATCATAGAAAGTCTTTCTTCTTTATGCTGTGCGTCAGTGGTAATACCACGTGTACAAGTGCGGGATTGCTGCGAGAGGGTTTTCTTCTCAATTCACAATTTCCTGGGAAGCCTTCCCTACAACCGTCACAAGATAATCAAGAAAACTGGAAATGAATGGGAATCATGTGACTCAAATCTAGTATTGTGCTGAGGGGTTAAGTAGTTCAATATCCGCCTATCCACGACTTTACTTTACTTTTTCGTGTGTCATTCTTGTCGCTAAGATGGAAACTCCGCAGCGCAAAACGGTAAAAATTCAAATTACTCACATCTTGGTGCGCGCATTTTCAAGTGTCAACGCTGAACGCCGAGTAAAATGAACCAGCCTGACTACTAGCCTGATCAAAAAGCGAACTACCTGTTTCGGAGTCATTACCATCGTCTTCTGACGTGCAGGAGCTGCCCCCCTGCTCTGGTACCTCGTAACAATAAAAGGGAACTACACCTAGGGGGATTCGCTCTGGTGCGAAAGCAGTGCACTTTGGTCCCCCTGCTGCCTGAACTTCGTCACCACGGCGCTTTGCCGCGTCGCGTGCCTTCTCGAGAACCTCCGCATCGCCAGCGTACAGTCTCAAGATTTTGCTTTCCGCCTCCCGCGCAAAGGTGTCATCAACGATACCCAGGTGCCCATGTGCGCCAGTAATGTACATCCTGAGACACCGAAGAACGAACTCGCGATCCCTGTAGAATCGCTCTGGCACGCATTCCGGACACATCACCAACGCGGAAGTGCACATGGCCTTGACTTCACGGAAACCGGAAAAGCAACACTCGACGAGATGAGGACATATACGTGTAACAATACCATGCACGAAACACTTCGGGGTTATCCCGCGCATGAGACGCAGGCCGCGAACGTTGTACTGTCCGATCGCAGAGGCGCTGCGTGTAATTTCATCTTCGGACCTCAATGGGACCCACTTTACTTGGCGCAGGTCGTAGCTCAAACAAAAGGGAACGATAGCTGAGAAGTCCCGATAAGTGGGCAGAAACCCGAGAACTGGGCCGTACGCTGACGCAAGGAAAGCAAACTTCTCTCGCTTACGGATTTTCCACGGCGCACAAGCGGTGATATCGCTACGACCCAGCATAATGGCATCCGTAATCAGCTCTTCGCGTCGTTCTCTGAACCCAACAGGGCAAAATCGTAAGAGATCCACGTGTGCGGAAGAGCGAGAAAAGCAGCCCTTGTCGGCAGTTCCATTGCCAGTTGATTTATCTGGGTTTGGGCCGGCCTCCACTGATGCCACGACCCCCGACCCGTGTCCAGTAGTTTCCCCTACGGCTCTGCTGCTGCCGCATTCGAACAGAAGGAACAGAGAGGCGACCCACTGGAGCAATTCAGGTCGCTCGCCCTTCTGGTCACGAAGCTCGGAAGGCCGCTCTTGGGCTTGGGCTGCACCTACCACGCCTTCGTCAGGTAGGCCCGATGCATTGCTCTCTTGCTCAGGTGAACCCGAAACAGGGGCTTCCTCTTTATGAATAGATTGACTTCGTGCCTCCTCTACCGAATACTGATAAAAAAGAAGTGCTGCGTGTCGCAAAGCAGATGTTCGCTGCTCCCGTTGCCTCTGGGCACACGCCGGAAGCATATGGTCTCTAACTCGTCCTTCGCGCCCCTCCTCACCTGATAGAGCCTTTCGAGCTATGCGATCCGAGATCTTGCAGCACGCTGCCATGTGGACCAGAGACTCCCGCTGGCTTTCCAAAGTACGCCACGAAAAGGCATTAAGATTGACCAACAACAATATTTCATCTGGCCCATCTGCAACAAAGCGAGCATGCGGTGTTCCCATCGTCCGAGAGCGCTCCAGCTGAGGTGCTTCCTTGGCGCGCCGAAACCTGTTTCTTTCCTGTATGAGGTCGCTTCCATTGCATTCGACCCACAAGCTGGAACTCTCCTCTACTTTGCGTGATAACTCTCTGGCAGCGTCGCTCTCAAGTACCTCCGAGGAATCGATCGACCCATCCCCAGGAGAGGTCGGCTGACGCCGATAAAATTGGATCAATGACATCGGCGGAGGAGAAGCGTCGGCAGGCCATCCATCAGCAACACCGTCGAAAATTGCTTGGTAGGCACACCGGCGCAAATCGTCGAAAGTTTCGGCGGAGCGCCACTCCACATCAAAAATCGACGCCGATGATGCGCTTGGATCTTTGAATCTTGTTGGAATCTTCATCGAGTGCAGGGGAGTTGTAGCAGCAAGCAACGTCCTATGACGGTCATGTCCAACTCCCTCAGCCACATTGTCGCGTATTATGCTCACTGTAAAATAAGAAGCGGGGTCCTCTATTGCCGCCAGATCGAGTTCGATTTCCGCGTGGTCGAGCGGGTATGAACAAGAAGGCCCCAAGGCATCTCTCGGCGGGCTTGTTGCGCTCGCGGATGGAACCACACTTGAGGACTGCCTATCCTGCGGTTCCTGCTCCTCCTGGTACGAAAACGAAAGATACAAAGTACTTTCGAGTTCCTTCTGTAGAGACTCAGGCAGCTGTGGGCAAATGTAGCCCTGCAGCGAAGAAGCAGCATCCGGCGGCATCTGCTTCAGTGCCTTTAGGGTGTCAATACCAAGACCCTGCTTGAGATCCCTCCGAGTGATTGGTTGTGTCTGGGCTTTTTCACAGCGTACCTGAAGATGCACTGGCAACACATGCTTATGTCTAACGGATGGATACTGGTACTGGTTGTCAAAGCAGGTATGCTGTAAGCACAATCGCACGAAAAAAGAATCTGTGCGAGCAAACTGGGGAAAAAAATGTAAGACAGGCCCACAGGATGCAGCATGGTACGCGAAATGCTTACTCTTCAGGACCCTATCGGACGCGATGCAGACCAATCGCGGATGGTGCTTCGCTACTTGAAACATGAGACTCATGTTGTCCGTCACAGCGTACGGTGCGACAAGAAGCCTTGTCGCATATCGCCACGAATATCTGTTAAAATTTTCAATTGACATATCTGGTTCTGGATTCGCATGAAGATGTTGAGAATTAGATGTCAATGAAGCTGCGCAGCAAAAAGGCTCCACACGAAGCACCGCAGCTTCCCGCCAAATCCAGCGTCAACAGATATCTACATCAGAAGCTAACACCTACAAAATAAACATGAATATCTAGAGTACAATAAAGTACTGCGAGTAGAAATAGAATGCGAGAAAAACTGCATGTGCCCGTGGGAAAGCCTTTCGAGGCATACCCACATTAGAAGGCAAATACTAAATAAAAATCAGTCGATCGGTACACTGAATATGCGAGCCCCAGTTGTGGCAGTGGCGCAAGCTGGTCTAAAAGCCAGGGGTCTGGCTTTCCTTTAGGGGGTTCGCGTCGCACCTCCTGCTTACCCCACATTCGGCCGCACCCACGCAGTACAAAGTCTGCGAGCCGCATTTCGTTTTCCGCAAAGGCAAACGCAGTCGCTTCGTTCAAGATAGGCTCCTGCTCATAGTCGAACATCTGAGTTCCGCCCGGATCTCTGATCTGCTGGTCACAAATGCTGTCGGAGAAAAATGCTAGCTCATCCAGCCGCATCTCCTCGTCGTCCATAGAGGAAGACCTCCTGTGGTCTCCCGCAGTACAAAGGCACGTTGCAGCGACTTCGTCAAGAATCTTATCCATCTTCCAAGAAAACCCATAATAGTAGGAAAACGTTAACCAGTCACTTACCGCTGCGTGGCAGTAACGGCCATTGACCCAATCGTTATCGCCAAATGGAGAAAAAAAGCTGAGCGAATGCGCACCGAATGGGAGCACGTCCAAGCCATGAAGAGTCGCGTCTTCACAGACGTCCACAACAAGAAACACGCGAAAGCTTTCGCTCTGCGCCATTGGACGAGGCCTTTTTAGTACCATCACTTGGGAAAAGCCGTTTGCAGACTTTGATCCGCACCATAGTACAGGAGGCCCCCGCTCATCAGTAGCCAAGTCAGATGCGCGACCTTGGCATACATTTTTTTCACGGGAGCACGTGTCATCTTTTTCGTCTACGACAAGCTGGAATAAGGAAGCGTCTGTTTTCTCTTCATCCACCGAAACTTGCATACACGAAACCGGTAGGGCCGCATTCCAAGGAAAATTCCGTCGCAAGTGTTGGTGTATATTTCGCGCAACCTCGCGCCCGCTCATTTTTGCACCATGCCCGTCGTCATTGTACGAGTGCGAAATGCTGAAGCTTATCATGCCAACTGATAATAGCTCCGACGATGCGGCAATTCGCGAGACAAAGGGCCTATCTCGAAGAGCGGCGCGAGAATCGTCATCATCATGATAACCATCTTCGCTATCTAAATAACCATCATCTTCTATATCCGTTCGCTGATCTTCCGGGTAGAAACTGGACATCAATGCAACATTCTTCGAAGCACCTCCACCGCGATCGAGCGCACTGCTCATTCGTTGCGGAAGGGCCCTTCTGGCAACAGAAATGTCACACCATACTGTCCCCTCCATTGCTATCTATGGCTGCGCGATTGTCTAACCGCTCTCAACTGTGAATTTTCGATCGGTTTTCTCAGACACAAATCTGCTGCATTTTCGTTTTCCTTATGTTGCTGCTCAGGTCTAGTCATATTTCGCGAGGCTGCGCCAAAATCGATCGAGACACAAGCTTTCTTCGAAGAGGGTCATCATGAATCACATCCAACATGCTATAAACGCAAGAATATCTTGATAGGAAGATCTTACGCTTACTTGATTGGATCCTGTTCATCCCGTGGCTTTAGGGGGCGTCCCTGATCAGGGGAAGACAGCCCGCCCGTAGGAATTTATGTACTATATATAATTATAAGTCTGTTATCAAAATAATCAGGGGGCGATGCTAGAGCAACACCTACTACTTTGCGAATGCGACTATGGTATATTAAGAAGTACCTGAGCGTGCTTAATATGGATACAATTACAGCAGCACCAAGGAAAATACTGGCAAAAGAACAACTTCAACTTCTAGTAACACTGCTTCCCAAGAAAAAGAACGAAAAGGGAGAAACGAGAGAAAACTTTCCTGTGCCAAAACTATTTACTCGGGATGGTGCGCGCTGGCGGTTCGGGACATCTATGAGTGTGTGAATCTTCAATTATGTTCTGATTGAATAGGAACTACTTAATGCTAATGCTACGATCTCAGGTGTAGCGTTTTCTGATCGTTTGCAGTGATCGTCGATCCAATCAATTTCCAGTGATCATATTCTTGGCTCCTAAGCGTATCATGGTTTCTCTCTCCTATCAATCGCGCACTTTTTGAATCCACACAAGAAAGTCGCGATAGTTCTAACAGATCCCTCCTGTGGTGCTGCCACTCCTCTAGTCTTCTGCTCGCAGTACGCTGCTCTCAACTAGACCACAGCAGCTCTCGTCTTTAGACTGACCGATTACAAAAACCATAAAATCTTCTAGACCTGATGACCGATAGAAATCCTGTCAACACTTAGAGAATCCGAAACATTTTCATTTCTCTCTCATTCCAGTGAACAAGTACCATTCCAGTGAACAAGTACTACTGCTCGAACAAGTCGGGATGAAGGTAAATTGTAGTTCTGAAGATAGATGTACACATATGACTCGGGGTTAACCAAGCGTACACTTCGTGTCACGCTGGAATAAATTGAGAGTGGTCGGTATAGTTTTTGGGGTCGCGCTAGCCGGTCTACGCCTCCAAGAATTCAACATTCTGCTTAGTACAGGTGCGACAATCACGTCGACCAATTGTGTATTTGATTCTAACCAGAGCGCGCCCCTCTTCTGCGGCCTGTTGCCTGCGTTCATCCCCAAGAAAAAAGTGCGGGTGCGTGAAACTTGAAAAAATTATACCTCCAGGCTTTGGGGATGGGGATTGGTGTACAGCATGTGGTTACGGGTACGGCTACGGGACAGATTGAAGAGTAAGTGTTTGATCGATGTGCCTACTTTTACCTACAATTACCGCCAACAAATTGACTGCGCAAGAGCTGTCAAAATTATACACAAGACATCTATGGATATGATTGGGCGAACCTCCGTTATAAAGCTAATATGGATATGACGAGTAGTTCATGGCACATGGCTTGTGGGGAAAGGGTGTGATAGCCAGTAGATGGCATGACCTGCAGTGTCCGTACAGTTGGCGATCTCATCTTCATCGTGATACTCTTTCTACTCGTCCGTCGAGGTTTCACCATTTTGATCGTTGGACTCGGGTGCATTGGTACTAACTTCGTCCTCATTAGACGAACCACTCTGACTGTCTTCGTTTTCACCACTCTCCTCAGCCTCTGACCCGGTGGCGTTCTCGTCATCATCTGAAGTCCCCTCATCGTCGCTGTTTTCATTTGAGGTCGAGTACGTACCATAGTCATACCCGTCATCGTCGTCGCTACTCCCAAAGAAATCCTCAAAGGGCATTTCCATCAGTTCTGTGAGGCGTTCCAGGTTCCGCTCATCCAGATGCTTCTCCGCGACTGCTCTCCAGTCCTCTCCTTTATGATTCCTGACTGTCATGTCCATATTCCGCGTTCGCAAGCGCATCACTATGTGTCGTAGAGCCCGTCCGAAATTCGCATTGCGTGAGGACTCTGGATCGTACTTTTCGTCCAAAAACGTGGGCCACGGATCCACCTTCACGGAATGCGACTCCGCGTCCCAGCGCGGGCACCCCTCTGGGAGATTTCGATGCAGGAGCCAAAGAAGGGGAGTATTTCCTGTAAGTGGATCTTGCACATTAACGTCCACAGTCTCGCAATCACGCAAAATAATACGAAAGGCGTCGTCTAAAGCATTTCTGCCAGCGTAGAGAAGGGCAGTTTGTCCATCCTGATCACGATCATTGATTTGTAGCTCTTTGTCAGAGAACTTCTGAGTCAACTGGTTAGCAACTGCATCACGGACATGGTCGGAATGACAGCATCCACCATAGACACCAGACCAGATTTCGGGTGTGCAACACGCAAGCATTAGTGGAGTGCGCCCCAGACGATCCTTCTGCCAAATGCAAGGCTGTCGGCTAGTCAGAGAGGTGTGTTCGTCTTGCTCAGGGCTCTGCTGATTATAGGCTAGCCTCGCGCCTGTGTGGTCATGATCGACAACCTCATTTTCGTCTCGCCTATCGAAGGTAGCAGAGTGTGCCAGTATCGCATTTACAGCTAGGCAATTTCCGGCATAGCAAGCAGCCAAAAAAAAGGTAGTTTCTTCGGCGAAGACAGCACTTGTCCACCTGCGTGAGATGTCACTTTTGCAGGACGCACACATCTCCAAACATTCTATGCCTTTGGTCTCAGCTGATGTATTTTCACAAGACGCAGCAACAAATTCACGTGCAACATCTTCACGAGGAAAATATCCTTCAGTGCGCTGACTAAGCATGGAAAGTAAAAACACGTTCTCTGCCATGATTGCATAATGGAATGCAGAAAGTCCATATATGTCGCGCATCTCCAGAAGCGGCCTCATCGCCTCCAGGCGCAGCTCGCTCACGCGTTCGACCGGCCCGCCTAATTCACCGAAGTCGATGCAGCCTAAGTGTTGCTCGAGTAAAATATGGAATGGTACAAGACTGCAGATACACCTCATTGAATGATCATAAAATGGTACATCCATGAGGATTGTGCGCCGCTTCTTTTCATCTGAGTAAATGGCCCAATCCCAAAACGTAGCTAGCAAAACATCTTCCAAATCATCTTGACTTGAGTAGCCTTGATCCCCAAGAAGTAGGCAGAACTCTAGGAAAGACATTGACGCGCCTTTGAGGCGAAACTCGGTGCGCGCAGCGGGCAGAAGCGCAGAGCGAGACGATCTTATTTCCATGCCACCAGAATGACAATTCCCTTCCCGAGAGTTTTCATGGCTCGTCCACGTGTCCGTTGTGCCACAAGCTGGGTTACAAATACTCATGTGCCACTGGGCTACGTCGATATCGTGCTTGCACTGGCACAGGATAAAGTGGGTAATATCCTGCAGGACAAGAAAAAGATCCCGGGGCAACACAATGCTTTCGTCAGCACGATAGATCCCGAGATCGTTGAGAGCTATCAGAAAATTTTTCCATTTCGTTTGCCCCTGAACCTTCCAATTGCGACCAGGTTCGATGGCACCCGCCATGCACGCCCTGAAACCGTTTGATTTTGACGTGAATTTGTGATAACCAATTGCACCTATCTTCTTCTACCAAGAATTCGGATATAGTTCGAGTATGTTGAGACTCAAATGGACACGATCCACCAAATGCTTACTGCGAGAGCAGTTCTGCACCTGCAACTCTACAGACATCACTACTACGAGGTGGAAGACGAAAATTAAGTCAAATTTCTTTGAGATGAAGCTGTGTTGATTCAAAACAAGAAAGGTCTTTCTAAGCTCGAAAATACCGAACCCACTCGGCTCTGCACTTGGCGCAACATTGGGGCCCTCTGCACTCGTCGGCAGGATTGGCGCCCTCGTCACAGCCTCTTTCACAGCACTGACCCAACTCTTCGACAGTCATGAATGCAGACTCGTCAGGCTGGTCTTGCATCCCTTTTATTAATAGAGATATAGTCGTGATCTCCCGCGCGTACCCCAACGCTTGTTGCTTCGCAAACGAAACCTTTTTCTCAAAACGCAGATTCCTTCGAAGCACCTGAAGCATATCATCACGAGGTACGAGAAACCAATTTTGATTCGGAAGAAGGGAGACAATGCGTGGGGTGGGATCTTCGCTGCTCGTGGTCTCGATCAATATCCGAAGCTCATAATTGAGTGTCTCAATTGCATCAGAGTCGAGGGGGATGCCATACAGAAGAACCCCATTCAGAGGCAACACACCTAACTGCTCATGCACAATGTCGACGAAGCGGTCAGATGGCACTTCCTTCATCTCCTCATTTTGAGGGGCAGCGCGTAATCTTTCGAACGCGCTTTGCCGCAAGTCAGCAACAAACCTGCGTAGGGTAAACCTTGCTTCACTGGATTCGGATGCTGCTAGAAGCAGCCTTGCTGCTCAGGTTTCCAAATCGCGCATTGGTGGACCTCGATGGCTTCTTCAGCAGGTCTTTTAATTGCAGCGCAATTGTGTTGCGGCTTTCCCTTTCGAGACCAAAAGAAAAATTGAGGACGAACATTTTTGTCTCTAAGAAAGTTGTTTGTTGATAAGAACTACGATTCTCCTTACTCCCGAACAGTCCCTTTTCACCTCCTATTTCATGAAAAAAGCGGCTTCATATCGCTTGAGGACTCGAAGAGTCTTGAATCGGTGACGAGCGCAAGATTGTCAGATCTAGTAGTAGTACTCTTATCAGAAGCAATGAATAAACAATAAAGTTACTAACGCAAAATACAGGAGAAAAAATTTTCTATCGTATAACACTCGAATAGTGAATCCACTACTTCCCAAAAAGAACGAAAAGGAAACACTGAAACTCAAACTTAGGGATTTCCTGTGCAAATACTATACCTGGGTGGGCGTGGGCAAGAAAAAATCAGAGAAATTCTTTTCAGAACCATATCTATGTAATGTACAATTATGGGCCTAAAAGATCTTATTTCTTGCAGTACTTCCTGATCGTTTCCTTTGATCTTCCTTGGTGCGGGTTATTTCAGGAGTGTGCTCATATTTCTTCAGCGTAGTGACAGTGGGTCTCTCCTGTACTTTTCAATGTCTTCAATCTTGACCCTGACGAGTAGCAATCGTCGAAGATGTGGTCTTAAAAGATGCACAGATATCTCAACGTCAACTCCATGCTGCTTCTAGTTATCGGAGGTTCTTCGTACAGCTTGCCACATTTTGCCGAAAATATCAAACAGCACATTACTCTGGTGCGCATACACAGAATGCCTGATACCAAAATTCATACAGATGCCGAGCACACACACCGATCTATCTCTCGCTCAACGCACACTTCCTCTCACCGATACATTTTCTCTTGACATCATAATCATGACAAGCTTCTACCAGTAGAGTCTTCCCTGTTTCGAGTTTTGCAGAGATTCAAATATATATGCTACTCACAGGCAATAGTGCGATCGGCGTAAAGTCGCATCATCTATCGGGTTGGCGCTGGGAGAGTACGGCTTCGCCATTCATTCTACTAGCACTACTAGCTTTGTTCTTATACACAGATACTTAATTCTTCACATCAAAGAACGTCTTTCTTCTTTAAGCTGTGCGTCAGTGGTAATACCACGTCCGTGTACAACTGGGGGATTGCTTCGAAAGGGCTTTATTCTCAATTCACAATTTTCTGGGAGGCCTTCCCTACCTCCGTCACAAGATAATCAAGAAAACCGGAAATGAATGGGAATCGTGTGACTCAAATCTAGCATTGTGAGGGGTTACTTCAAGATCCTCCTATCCACGACTCTACATTTTTTTGTGTGTTATTCTTGTAACTGGAAGGCGGGAAATAAGCAGCGCAAAACGCGGCATAAGTACATAGATATTCATCGTGGTGCGCGCATTTTCAAGTGTCAACGCTGCACGCCGAGTAAAATGAATCAGCCTGACTAGCCTGATCTTCAGAAAGCGAGCCACTTGTTTCGGAGTCATCGACAGATGATGTGTGTACACGTTGCTCGTGCGGAGGATAGCACCAGAATCGAATTACCCCTCTTTTTTCCAGATCCGGCATATCATAAAGTAGTGATGGCCCACCAGCAGCTTCGACTTCAGCGCGACGCCTTGCAGCTTCGCGCGCTTTATCAATGATCTCTTGATCGTCAGCAAAGAGAGTTAAGATTTCCGACTCGGTTTCATGCGAAAAAGTATAGCCGACAATATTTGAATATCCCCCATGATCCGCATCCCGGATGTATGTCTCGAGCTGTTCTAAAACAAAGCTGCGATCGGTATGCAACCGATGAGACACATCATTGGGGTTCATGAGATAGGCGGAACAGCACATGGCGGGATTATCTCGAAAGTCGGAAGAGCAATACTTAAGCATCAAAGGAGATCGCATCTCCAGAACTTTATACACGAAATCGCCCGGCGTTAATCCGTCTTGCAGACGCACCCCGCGGGCGTTGTACTCGCCAAGCTCCGCATCTGTATCGTGAACCGACCAACAGGATCGGAGAGGTACCCAGCGAACCTGTCGGAAATCGTGTGCAAGACAGAAAGATACGACAGGTGAAAAGTCACGAAAAGTCGGCAAAAAGCCAAGAGTCGGTCCGTAAACAGAAGCCAAAAAGGCGAACCTCTCGCCAAGGCGAATGTGCCGAGGCGCACACGCAGCAATGTCACTACGGCCCTGAAGGATGGCATCTATCACGAACTCCTGACGCTGAGTCCGAAAGCTACTAGGACAAAAGCGCAAGACGTCAACACAAGCGGGAGACCGACACAGATCAAATTCTTTTGAACGAGGCGAAGACCCATTTTTTTCCGATGCATCTTCGTATCGTTCGCTTCTCAGTGCCATGCTGATTGCACTTTTTTCATTTTCCTGTGTTTGAAGGTCCAGGAAGAGTGACGCAACCCACTCGAGAAGCTTTGGCGCTTCGTCCATACGTGACGGGGCCGCACCTCCTGGTCGATCCTCCTGGTGTGATAGATCAGGTGAAGTCGCGACTGTGTCCTCCCATTGAAACGAAGCGATGTCCTCCTGACAAAGCACAGCCCTTCCAACCGGGTGCTGTTCGCCTCGCTCGTTGTACGTGCCTGCCCGTTGCCTCTCTCCACATCTTCCTGACTTAGCGTTGGCTCGCATCTCTTCTACCGCATATTGATAAAAAAGATGCTCTGCGCGGCGCAACGCCAAGACTCGCATCTTCCTTTGCGCCACAGCGCACGGAAGAAGTGCGTCGGTCTTCGCGCACCTATCTTGATCCTCCATTCGAGAGAGGCTTCTGTGTGCGATGCGATGCGACGTCTTGCAGCATGCAGAGGTCTCTACCAATGATTCAAGTCGCTCTTTGGTCGTTCGCTCTGGGTCTGGGAATGCACTGTGATCAACCAAGAGGAGTATTTTCTCGCTTGAGCCGTCCGGAGCGTCCCTGGCCGAGGGTGCCGCGATGGGGTCACGGTCGTCATCGTCAAGCCTCACTACTTGGTCCGCACAATCTTCGTTGCGCCGTGCGCTTCCTGGCGCTATGAGTTCGTCTGGATGGCATTCCCTCCACCAAAACGAGCGCTCCCGTAATTCGTCCGAACTCCCCGAAGCATCCGCGTGTCCAGTCGTCCCGACAGAAACACCTGAACACCTTCCTTCCGATCTAACCTGGCGGTAAAATTTTATCATGGGCATAGGAGGCGGAAAAGCGTCGTCTGGCCATCCTTCAGCAGTGCCCTCAGCAATTGCCTGGTATACGCAGCGACGCAGGTCGTTGAAAGTTCTAGCAAAACGCCACTCCACATCATGGAAAGATCCCGAAAGGAACGCGAGGTCCTTGAATACGATTGGAATGTCTATCGACATGAACGAGGGCTTTGCGAGACTGCCGTCGCAATCTGGTAATTTTTCGCGCGTGAATGATATTCCGTCGGAGACATTACCACGAAAAGCAGCAATCTGGAGGGAACATCCAGGAGCATCTGCACGATTCGAATCAAGTTCGACCTCATAGTGGTCAAGCGGGAAGGTTGCGCAAGAGACACTCTGTTCAATCTCTACTCTCTCGGCCGTTGCTGTTTGGACAGCTTTCTCTACCTCCTCGGACGGAATCGCACCCTTGTCAGTTCTCAACGAAGTGTGATCCAGAAACTGACATGAATCCGTCATGTCACTGGTGCCGAGACACGCATCTATGTCCGCCTGCGTAAGAGGGTGCGCTTCTGCCTCTTCGCATCGAATCAACAACTGAAGCGGCAACGACCATTTCGCCTCGGACAGCGGATACCTATATTGCTTCTCGAGCGGGGCATGCTGGAGGCACAGTCGTACGAAACCGGAATCCGACCTAGCAAAATGTGGAAAAAATCGCAGCACAGGCCCACACGACGCAGCATGATAGGCGAAGTGCCTCGCGTTCAAAACCCTGTCAGATGCAACGCAGACCATTCGTGGATGATGTTTCGCAAGCTGAAACATCAACTCCATACTGTCAGTCAAGGCGAAAGGGGCGACAAGCATCCTCGTTGCGAATAACCACGAATACCTGCGACAATATCCAATTGCAAAGAAATCTGAAGAACCATGATTCACATAGATATGCGCTGGGAGCAAGCTCTTCGACATCGACTTTTTTTAATAGCATAGATACATAGAGCACAAACAACAAAAAAACTTACTTAGGTGGAAGTTCGAATTCACTAAGAGCAAATCAACTAATTATTTAGAGCATGAACATGGTGAAGTTGCATAAGTATATATGACCCAAGGCGCGGGGCGACGGTGCCCCCCCTAACGTAGGGGGGGCACCGCGCAGCCCCACGCCCCTTCTTAAGGCCTCTGCCGGGGGCGGAAGGCCTCAAAAGGGGGCCAAGTGGCCTCCCTCCTCCGCTCCGTTCCAGCTGCCTGGCTGTTGCCTACAGGTCTCCGATGTAGGTGGGAGGCCTCAAAAGGGGCCCAAGGGACCGCCTGCGCCCCCGCCCAGTTGCCTGCCTGTGCCCTAAGTGCCTCCGATATGCTTCGCCGCCGCAGCAGAGCGCCGGTTTCAGAAAGCCTCCGAAAGCCGCAAAAAGCGAGGGGCTGGACCCACTGAGCCGCGCAGCCTGTACCCTCCGGGCCTTTGGTCATCAGCTTGCGTGCTCTTGCCTGCGGCCGTGGCCGCTCTCCGCGGGCTTTTACCCCGGAGGTCTCCCGTCCGCGAGGGTCAGCAAGGCACTTAGGGCACAGGCACGCACCTGGAAGGGGGTGCAGGCGGTCTCTTGGTTGGGCCCCTTTTGAAGCCTCCCGTCTACATTGTAGGCCTGTAAGTAAAGAACAGCCAGGCAGCTGGAAGCGAGCGGAGGAGGCCACTTGGGCCCCTATGGAGGCCTTCCACCTACGTCGGAGGCCTCTAGGGGACAGCCAAGCACCTGGAAGGGAGCAGAGGAGCTCACCTGGCCCCTTTTTGAGGCCTTCCACCCCCGGCAGACGCCTCCAAAAGGGGTCCGGGGCTACCGGTGCCCCCCCTACGCTAGGGGGGCACCGGTAGCCCCAAGCCCTGGGTCATATATGTTTCAGGGCGCGGGGCGACGCCCCCCCCCCGGCCGGGCGCCCTGGGCCCCTCTTTGAGGCGTCTGCCGGGGGGGAAGGCCTCAAAAGGAAGCCCAGTGGCCTCCCCCCTCCGCTCCCTTCCAGCTGCCTGGCTGTCCCCTGGGGCCCTCCGATGGTGGTGGGAGGCTTGAAAAGGGGCCCAAGGGACCGCGTGCGCCCCCGTCCAGGTGCCTGCTTGCGCCCTACGTGCATCGGTTAGGCTCCGCCACCGCAGCCGTGCCGCCTGTACCATCCGCGCCCTTGGTCATCGGCTTGCTTGCTCTTGCGACCGTGGCCGCCTACCTTCGGCGGCCTTTTACCCTGGAGACCTCCTGCCTGCGAGGGTCAGCAGAGGCCAGGAGGCCCCTGGGGGACACGCTGAGAGGCCCAAGGGGAGGCCCGCGCCAAGTTTTGACGCCTTCCACCACTAGAATCCGCGAAAAATCCGCGCGGAAAAGCGCGCGCGCGCGCCACCACAGACCAGACCACAGGGGGGGGAGGGGGGGCCGTCCGGCCCTGGGTCATATATAACATAGAAGATAGGGGAGAATATGATCAATGAGTTATTGTATACTTTCACAAACTAATACTAAACAACATCGAAAAAAATGCACATCGAAAAAAAGTTGTACACTTGATCCCCTATGCCCAATTCAGGCGGGGGCGCGAGCTGATCGCGAAGCCAGGGGTCGACCTCATCCCAACCATGGCAGCGTTCGAGTGAAAACTCCGTCCATATCCGACCACAACCACGCAAAACGAACTCCGCAAGACGCATCGAGCCCACAGGAGGAGCGTCGGCTGAGTCGACGAAAATGCGATCGACATCATGATCAAGCATACTCGGGCTGGAAGCGTATGGGTCTTTAAGGTCATTCTTGTAAATAATGTCACAAAAAAACGCAACGTCGTCGAAGCCACTTGAGTCCCACATAGAAGGGTAGATGTCTGTGTTATCGTCTATCACAGATGTTTTACTTGCATGATCAACATTCCATTGAATGCTGTTGAATTTGCTTATAATCCTATCTTCTAGGGCACTCCTCTGATCCTTCTCGCTACGCGGTGAAAAAAATGACAAGATTGAGTCAGACGCTCCGGACTGGGGCACGTCAACACCTGTTGCTTCTTCGCAAACGGTAACAACGACATAAACTGCAGGTGGCTTTGGACAACTAAGCGGCGCTAAGCATGAGAATCCCTTTACGTCCTCGTCGGACTCTGGCGCAATGTACAGTAGAGTTCTGGAAAAGCCGTCTGTTGCGTTACTGTCGGCTGCGGCTCCCCACCACAATAAGTTTGAACAGTCATGATCTTCGTGGTAGGCGCCCGAACTGCACGCTCGGGGACGATTGTTCCCAGTTTGAGCAAGAGAAAAACCTGGTCTGGTGCTTTTTTTCGGGTCCAACGAAATGCTCATACACGATACCGGCAACGCAGCATTGTAAGGAAAAAACCGACGCAGGCTCATGTGAATCTCACGCGCGACGTATTTGCCGCTGCACCTGAAATTCGAGGGTCCTGTAGCATTTGAAGTGTCTTCAACATTGAACTTGAGAAGTATCTCAAAACTTTTCCACGGGGATGGGGCAGCATTAGCAGACCCGCTCCTAGACGAGCAGGGTGGTCCAAACGCCTGCACGCTTTCAGACGCCCGTGGCCTATTTGCATCTCGCCTTGTCGCTTGGGGCAAGACACGCCTGTCGACCGAAAACACACATTTTACTTCCAACATTTTCTGTCTCAATCTAGTACTAGTTCTTCTTATCAGTGTCTCTCATTTCAGATTTACATTAAGGAACAGAGTCATTCGACGTCTATCGATACAATCATGTACTGCAAAGGCTGTCCGCAAGCAAAGAATAAACAACGAATTCAGCTCCGCAATATTTGATAGGCATCATACAATAGAAAAGATTCTTGCCAAAGAAACGAAGCAAGACTAGTTATGTAATACCATCAAAAACTAAACGTAGATTGATTTTTCTCTTCAAAAAAGTTCCAAAAAAGGGTCTATGAAAAAAACCAAAAAAGACTCTTTATATCCATTTCCAACAGTCGTGACAAAACTAGAACTGATATTAACTCAACAACATGATACATGTATGTCATGTCGTGGCACATCATCGATCATCAGTATCCATATCAATAGTTTTCTTCGTTTAAGTCGTCTATACAAGTTAGCGATAAACTTGCTATAATTGGATACAAACATCGACAGAAAACTGGCGTGTGTTGCTTCTGACCAGAAAAAAACCATGTATGTTGTTAAGAAGTAACCGAGATTGTCTTCTAATCGTCAACAGGATCATCCTACATAAGTATAACTGCTATGTATACCCCTGAACGACCCACGATTGGCTGCGCAATTACTTACATAGATATTGAATCTCAGGCAGCACTGAATAGTTGAGTGGCAAAACAAACAACCAAGGAATTAGAAGTAACTGCCGCTTACGCGGATCGGAAAATGCGAAGCAGATCGTCAGCCTTTTGCTAGAATTAATTCACTTTGGTGTCATTGTATTTCTAACGAACGAACGCTGCAGTAATGACCTGTGATGACCTTGAACTTGAAGGACGGTAAAATCTAAAAATGCCCTAAGATTGGATCCAGGATCGGGTAAATGAAAAAGATCTCTGTTTTCACATCGTCAACTCTTTCCAAGTCGTTCGACGCAGCCCACGTGTCGTCTCGACACTATGTATGTATAATGGGCATAACCGATTGGACTGCACAAGTCAACCCGTCTCTCGTCGTGCTATTGTTCATGCTGGTCAAGGATATGTGAGCGACCGATGGACCACAGATGAACTCTCCGGGATCCGGTGATACTGATAACGGCAATGAAATCTTCAGGAAGAGACCTAGTTTAGCAGCATCGACATTGTGATAAATGCGAGGGAAAGACCGATCTGCGCAAGATAATGCGTATCTGTTCTTTGCTGGCACACTACAAGAAGTTAGTTGGCAAGCACATCTTCCACATTTTTTACAACCGTGTGACAATTTGAATTTCCTGTGCAATTTTAAGTTACAATAATATCTTGCACACTATCTATTCGTGTTCTTTGGCGCGATCAGTTTTCGACACAGGAAACAAACGAATCTGCCTGACTAGCACAATCCGACTCGATATCTGCCTCACTGCGC